CGAACACAGCTCACAGTCACACTATACAGTAGAGATTAAAGCCAACTGGTCCCACCCTTAAATTCCCTTTGGCATCATCTACACATCCCCACCATTAAACCATAAACCCCCTCGTCCTTAACCATTTGCAAATCCCCCTTTCACACTTCCTTTTGCCCTCCTGAAATGTAACCCCTTAACATATGTCTCTGTTAAGACTACAAATACAATGTAACAGTGTAAAAGGCAATCAGAGTATAAGACTATATTTTTTAAATGATAATTTGACACGACAAAGACACGTCTAAACAGGAGGGTCTTAAGATGCTTTTCAAAGGTGTCCCTCGTCCCATTCTATTGCTTTCACAGTTCTACAATTGCAGATACACAACTCACGCCACCCTCTGTTTATCTGTCTTCTCCCTCAGACCTTCCACATGTACAGTAAGTATAACCAGGAGATGCTGTGCCAGGCGTTCATTCAGTGCAGGAAGAGAGGGCTGGTGAACCGGCGCCGCATCAATCAGGCGTTCGGACCGAAGAAGAACCGAGCGCTGCCCATCCTGCCCATGTCCTACCAGCTGTCCCAGTCCTACTACAGGTACACAGCAGCACAACGTTCAACTCGTTCTATCTATAATTTGTATTTCAGTTGATTTCTTAATTTTAAAATGTATGTCATTTTTCATGTTTTGTCTTTTGTTTTCATTCCATATTTTATTCCTTTTTATTCCATTCTATTTATATGTAAATACTGCTATATTTTACTACATTTTTAATGATTTCTAATATTTGTTATGCTATTTTTTATGTATGCACCACAACATCAAATCAAATTCCTCGTACGTTTACATTCCTGATAATTTAATGAATTATTTATATTATTTGTCTTCTGGTTCCATCACTGCTTTATATTTTGTTACTGTACATTTGTAATTCGACATGTATATTTTCTACTTTTGTTTAATGCTATTTCATTTAGGGCTGCACGATATTGGAAGAAACTGATATTGCGATTTTTTTTTTTCCTCCCCCTGCGATACTGTATATATTGCGATATGAAAAAATACAGGAATTGAAGAAAAGACATTTTTTTTTTGTCCGCAAACCATCCTTTCTTGAACTTTAATGCTATACAATTGGTATTTTTTTAACTATATTTAACCGGATGAAGGATTTTAGTCACGGACGTCTGGATTTAAGTTATCAGAGCAACAAGCTGAGCTAGCTCGGTTAGCAGCGCCGAACTGGAGAAACACATGAAACTACTTTATTCAGTGTTTTTACCTTTAATCACCGTCCATTTGCTTTGGAGATGTGATTGTGGTTTGCTGTCACTCACTCAAGTACCTCTGACATGAGAGCCGAGCGAGTTTTCCTTTTGTAGCAAGCAGCAAAAGAATTGTAACATGACGTGTTTGAGTTAATTTGCCTACTTAATATCGCACGTCCTGCGATGTGAATATTGCGCATATCGCGATTATCGTCACGACACGATATATCGTGCAGCCCTAATTTAATTTCTATTGAAATGTTTACATTTTGGAATGTTTATTTACATTTGTATTGTACAATGCCATGTCTTGTTATGCTGCTGCAACGCAAACATTTCCCAAATTGGGATCAATAAAGTACTTCTTATGTAACATGTAAAAGTACATGTTGGTTCTTGTGATATGATTGAAACACACATATAAATTCCTCTAAAAGCTGTCTTAAGCTTCTGTTGTTGTTTCTGATTTTAGTAACTGTGAATATTTGGTTAAACATTCAGACTTTTTGACCATTCCTCTCCTCCTCCCAGGTGTTTCTCGTGGCGTTTCCCTAACTCTCTGTGCACCGACTCCTTCCGCTTCCTGAGGAGTCTCATCAACAACGGGATGTCAGACGACCAACCCGTCACTGCGTTCTACAATGAGCCCGAGAACAGGTCGGAGAGCGAAGACGTAGTAACGGAGAGAAGAGCGGCATCGGAGAAGAAGAAAAAACAAAACAAAGGGGAGAAAGAAGGACCAGTGAAGGAACCAGAGAAGGAACCAGAGAAGGAACCAGAGAAGGAACCAGAGAAGGAAACCAGTGACTGTACAAAGGAGGGAGGGAAGGACCAAAGTAAAACGGAAGGAGGAGAGGAGTTAATGGAGGTGAACGAGGAGAAAAACAAAGCAGAGGAACAGAAGAACCAGGAAGATTCGCTCACAGCTGATTCTACTGAAGATCCCTCCAGCAGAGAGCAGACGGACAACCCTTCACCCAGAGAGGAGTCTCCAGATGTGTCTGCTCCTCAGATAACTTCAGAGGAGTCTCCAGATGTGTCTGCTCCTCAGATAACTTCAGAGGAGTCTCCAGATGTGTCTGCTCCTCAGATAACTTCAGAGGAGTCTCCAGATGTGTCTGCTCCTCAGATAACTTCAGAGGAGTCTCCAGATGTGTCTGCTGCTTCGATAACTTCAGAGAAGTCTCCAGATGTTGCTGCTGCTCCTCTGATAACTTCAGAGGAGTCTCCAGATGTGTCTGCTCCTCAGATGACTGCAGAGGAGTCTCCAGATGTGTCTGCTCCTCAGATGACTGCAGAGAAGTCTCCAGATGTGTCTGCTCCTCAGATAACTTCAGAGGAGTCTCCAGATGTTGCTGCTGCTCCTCTGATAACTTCAGAGAAGTCTCCAGATGTTGCTGCTCCTCCGATGACTGCAGAGAAGTCTCCAGATGTTGCTGCTCCTCCTATAACTCCAGAGGAGTCTCCAGATGTTGCTGCTCCTCTGATAACTCCAGAGAAGTCTCCAGATGTTGCTGCTCCTCTGATAACTCCAGAGAAGTCTCCAGATGTTGCTGCTCCTCCTATAACTCCAGAGGAGTCTCCAGATGTTGCTGCTCCTCCTATAACTCCAGAGGAGTCTCCAGATGTTGCTGCTCCTCTGATAACTCCAGAGAAGTCTCCAGATGTTACTGCTCCTCCTATAACTCCAGAGGAGCCTCCAGATGTTACTGCTCCTCCTATAACTCCAGAGGAGCCTCCAGATGTGTCGGACATGCTGCAGTTCTGCATGGAGTCCCCGGGGGGAGCGAGTGGAGTCTGTCTCAGCCTGATGTCTCTGGGACTGCTGAGTGTCTTCATGTCCATCCCCAAACAGGTGGTGGTGGTGGACAGCAACCTGGTGGACAGCGACGTGGTCAAGAGGTGAGGAATAATCCGTGTGCAAACATTCATTTGATTGTGTTAAGTTGACAGCAGATTGTACAGGGTTATGTGGGAAGCAATTAAAGAAAATATATTTAATAAACTTGTAATATATACTGTATATGATCATGAACAATCTTAGACAAACAATGTAAACAACTAATGCATTTCCATAAAGGAGTAGGTACTCTCATTGTTCAAATTCTTCGATTTAGTGTATGTTAAAAAAGCTGAAGGATTTATTGTACACTTATAAGATCCTAACCTATCAATAAATAATCTAATGTTATATTATATAATATCCGCTAAAGATACTGAAATGATTTGGCACCAAAAATGTAATGTTCCCTTTTTGTCTGGAAGCACAAATCTAAGATATTTCATAATCTGGACAAATAAATATATTAGAATTAGGGCTGTCAAACGATTAACATTTTTAATCAGATTAATCACAGGTTAAAAATGAATTAATCATGATTAATCACCATTCGAACTATGTCCAAAATATGCCATTTCTTTATGCATATTGTTGTGGGAATGGAAAGATAAATGAAAGAAGGCGGATATATCCATTTAACATACAGTATCTATGTTTATTATAAAAAATTTCTGCATGTCAAAATGAAAGACAACCCACACACCTATCAATCATCAAACCGTGGGGTCTTAATTCATTATGTGTTGATTTCTATTAACGGGGGAGTACTTCAGGAAAGTCGACAGAGGGGGGGGGGCGGCGGCTAGTGGAGTACTTAGTGACCACAGAGTGTGTGAACGTTGTGATCAGCTGTTTTAGCGCAGTTCTCCAGTGAAGGGGGGGAGTCTCCCTCCGCAGCCGGTTGGCGTAGTTTTGGCACAATTCCGTTGTACAGACCGACGTTAACATCAGCCCTGTCTGTGCACACGGAGACCGACTGTCGTCCGGTGATCTAACCGCCTTCTGGAAAAGCTTCACAAGTACATCGGTACGCAAATGCGCTTTGTGACACAAGTGACGGTACGCATTTCAGATTACGCACATAACCTGCGTACCAGTTATGTGCACCCCTGTACTACAGCAAAAGTATTCTCCGTCGGGACTTCCTGCAACAACACCACGCCGTTATCTTGATTCTGATTGGCCAGAAGACATTATCAAAGATGTTCTATTGAGAAGACGATCACTACGTGACAAAAGTTTTCAAAACCGTCTTCGGTATTTCCAGACAAGTGGCTACTGAAATCAATCTGATTTACGTCTGTGCAATTTACTCCGCGCGAGTTGTCAGACTTTATTTTGCTTACTTTAACATCATTTTTCATGGTGGGGCTAAGCCATTTCTTGGTATGGGTGTAGCCTACCCCAGCCATACCCTGGCGCTGCCACTGGTGGGATGTATGGGGCGGGCCATTCTGCACATGCGTTAAATGCGTTAAATATTTTAACGCAATTAATTCAAAAAAGTAATTACCGCCGTTAACGCGATAATTTTGACAGCATTAATTAGAATATAAAGTGACAGTTGTGGAAATGTTGTTACGGTTAAAAATAGCAATGTTGAGGTACATTTGTTTTCAGTTTGGTGGCGCTGGAAGAAGAGGATGATGATGAGGGTGAGGATTGTGACGGGAAGAAGAAACTGGAGGTGAAGTCACATCAGGCGTCTCACACCAACTACCTGATGATGCGCGGATACTTCTTTCCTGGCATAGGTGGAGTTTTAATTGTTTGTGTGTTTTCTGCTTTTGGGTTTATTTGTGTCCTTCGTCTCTACAGGATTTTTAGATACTTCATTTGAAACGCTTTGCACCGGATGAAATTAAGTACATTTTTTGTGAAGGCACCGAAGTTTTTGTTTATATTTTCTCATAAGGTCCATATCTAATTAAGTTTTTAGACATTAATTACAAAAGATAATCCCAATTTCTTTGTAATTTAATTCGGTAAATTTGATTTGGATAGAAAAGTAAAAAATAAGTCCTTTTATTTACAGACATCTTTTTTCTCCTTAAATGTCTAGTTTTTTGTTTGGTTTTATATCATTGTCAATGTGCTATCATCGTGGTTAGGACTGTTGTTCAAACGGTAATTAAATTATTTCAGAAATATCAAAAGATAGATTTACCGGCAAATAAAATAATACTAAATTGCTGCCTTTTGTAAAAATGTGAATTTGTTTTGTTTGTAGTGAAAATCCGTAACCTGAACACTCTGGATAACATCGTGGTGGAGTCGTGCATCATGAAGCTGCAGCTGCGCAGCACTCCTGCTCACCAGCTGTTCAATACAGAGGGTGAGTATCCACTGTAATGTAACAGAGCTGCTCAATCAATCAACACTTTATCTACATCTCAATATGGACCAGTGCAATATTCAAAAGGCAGCATGCACACAGCATTCTGTCATAGTAAAATATGTGAAGTCTCGTGGTGCTGCAGAGAAGTCCCAACCTACTAACTTTTCTACAGATATAAAAAAAACAGTAAATGTTAAACTCAATTCAGGAATGCTAAAAAGATCTATTATCTAATTTATTTACTTTTATTTTATTTATTTTGTATTTGTTTTTTAATAGCTAATTTGAATAATAATTAGGAAATGATCATACCATTTATTGTTTTTTATTTTATTTATATTTATTTCTTATTTTTTTCAAAATATATTGTGAATAATGTCTCGACACAAATCATATCTCAATGCAATATCATGCAGCACTACCAAGTAATACACGTACAAACCAGGGTTTCCGCTAGGATTTTTTGTTGCCGGTCAAATGTCCGGAAATAATTTATTTTACCGGACAAATTTGAAACTTACCGGTCATGTTTCAATAATAATAATAAGAATTGTGTAGCAGAGTTTCCATTAGCAGGTAATTACCGGACTAGGACCGGATATGCTAATGTTTAAAACTCAGTTAATGGGGCTCATTTTTATATTGCTTCAGTTTATAATCCTAACAGATCGAAAAATTCAGATTCATTTTTCAATAAATGATTCCACAAACAACATAATTATTACATTCAAAGAAACTACTTGTAGTAGATGAAGTACATTATTCAAAAGTTTAAATTAACTTTGAATAATAACACGGGAGAAACGGATCCTCTCTCCCTCCCTCTCTCTCCTGACAGCCCGTCAGTTTCTCATGCAGCTCGCTAAACAGTGGGCGGGGCTTCAGGTGATCATGCAGCAGCTGATCCGATCTCTCTCTCGGTCCGGTTATACTTCACTCGCGTTTATGTCCATATCGTTCAGATCCAGCTCTCCTGATCGGCCTTTATAGAGAGCACCGATCAAACTATTAAGAGTGAATATCGGCCGATAATGATCGGCGGCCAATCGATCGGAGCATCCCTAATTATTACCAGACATTTTGACCGGCAGGTTTTGAATTTACCGGTTTCTAATAAATGTTACCAGCTAAAAAACGGTAATTACCGGCTAACGGAAACCCTGGTACAAACACAGGGTGTTTCTCAATGTCGAGGACGCTTCCTTGGTAGCACATGTACCTCCGAGTCACTTGCTTCAGAAGCAAGGCAAGAATCCTTCCTAGCCTCGGAAAAAGAAGAATGGTGGAACAGGCTAACAGGTGTGCGTCATATGCGAGGCCCCGCCTTAAATGGAGTGCGATTTCCGCCAAAGATTTGGAAATTGGTCCGTGCGCAAAGTATTGTGGGGATTTGAAGACCGCAGAGTCTACACATGTGCAGCCTCGAAATGTCTCGCTACGTAGGACGCCGGGCTCGGTAGAATTCCAACGAGCCTGGACATTGGAACAGTCGATGACGTAGCATCCTTGAAATAGTGGCTCTGGAGCATCCTTCCTTGACATTGAGAAACATCCACAGCTTCATTTGCAAAAAAGTAATTATTTATTTCCTTTGTCTTCATTTTTAGACTTTCCACCGCTGGACTTGTCTAAATGCGGTCCATCCCTGCTGCCCTCCGTCCTCTCCTCCTCCACCCGCTCTTCCTCCTCCTCTTCCTCCTCCTCTCCCCACAGTGTGAAGGAGTGTGAGAGGCGTTTGGTTGAGCAGAGAGGTTACACTCCTCAGGACGTTAAAGCGTGTGTTCAGCTCAGGAGGAGTCTAGAGGCAGCGAAGGAGAGCGGTCTGGGGGTCCAGGACCTCTACGAGACTCACGCTCAGCTGCAGGAGGCGCAGGGGGGCCGCAGCAGGAGCCTGCAGCTGTACCTGAAGGTAACACGGACAAACAGACGCAGTATATTTGATAGTAGGGCTGCACAATTATTCAATTAAGTCAAAACTGTTGGGAAAAATCGTTTCAAATATTTGTATTGAGAAGAAAGTGTAAGCAATAGTACAGACTTCTTTGGGGTGGAAATCATGCTTCCCTTTTTCAACATAGAAGACAAACCGAACAGCCAACAAGAACTAATAAAGAAAAAACAGCATGACAGGAATAGCATACTTAATGACATACCTAATCATAGTGGGAAAGAACATACAAAATAGTATATATATAATACAAATAAATAATAAACTTAAAGGGTGCAGATGAGCCCAGACTACCCCCAAATTCTGAAAAATCAAGAAAGAAAATCACATTTGATGTAGATTGTTCAAAACAACAAATCATTGTTTTACATAAAGTATATATAAATAAGAAATTGGAATTTTATTTTGCCTTAAATTGAAGACATTTTTTAAAATGTTTATTATATATAACATAATTATTCAACTAATAAATAAAAAATCTATTGAGAATAATACCCAAAATAATCGCATTTAAAGTGGGTTATAGCCAGGGGTGCACATAACTTTTTTGCCCTGGTTCTCAAAGGAGCACCTGGAGATGTTGCTTGGTGCTCATCCTTAAAATTAAATAAACCGTAACTTTTGAGGGGGTCTTGACTTTATTTGCCAGACACACGGCACTGAACACACATGCAGAGGTGAACACAGAACACACATGCAGAGGTGAACACAGAACACACATGCAGAGGTGAACACAGAACACCCATGCAGAGGTGAACACAGAACACCCATGCAGAGGTGAACACAGAACACCCATGCAGAGGTGAACACAGAACACCCATGCAGAGGTGAACACAGAACACACATGCAGAGGTGAACACAGAACACACATGCAGAGGTGAACACAAGACAACATTAGCACGACCAGTAATCCTACAAGCTGTCATCACTCCCCTCCTGACTGTTCTCCTCACTGTCTTCCTCTCTGTCAGACATGGTAGCTGATGATGTAGGCCTACTACTTCCTCTCTGGTTGAGTCTGTGATTAGATGCTTGCATCCACAAGTCAACAGCTGGGTTTGGGTCGAAAGTCTCTGTTGTCATCTTAGACAAGTGGATGTAATCAAATAAGTATGTGAACATAACCAATAACCTACCATAGCCAATAACAAATTAATGTAACTTATTTTATTTGTGTTGTTCATTCATATCTTATTTTACCTTAACATTTATTTATTTATGCATTTTTTTTTTATCTCCAGTTTTAAAGGATATTTTTGGTTACTGTCCTATAGTATACATTGGAATGATTTAAAACCTGTTTATCCCAATAATTATAAAGGAGTGCCTTGGAAATATGTGTTTACATAAATTGTGACCAAACCGTTTGAATTTAGACTTTACCTCACTGAGCTGTAGTTATCAGCCTCTCAGTCTGACTGGAGAGGACTCTCCCTCCACATTATTGTAGAAACATCTTCTTCTTATCTCCGTTAGAGCAGCTAGCACGGCACCAGATTATAATAACAACAGCGCTGGTACCACCCTCCCTCGCTCACTCGCATTTTGTCTGTGAGCTGCGGGCGCCAGATAAGCCAACATCCCCCATTTTCATCACTTACAGCGCCCATCGTACAGGGCAAATGAAAGGTGGAACCGGGGTGAAAAAGGTGTTACATTTACTTAATTATGAATATTGTTACATCAAGGCCGAAAATTAGGATGAGCCCTAACGGTCAAAATGTTTTTTTCCCTCCCAGAACTGCAAGCGCAGCACCTCCCCAGATCTGGCGCCCTAGGCCCTGAGTTCATATCATGGTTCATATGCAACTCGCAAATATCTTTCTCTCTCTCTCTTCCTCATCTCTCCTCTATTTTCTCTTTTCTCTTTTCTCTTATCTCTCTCCCTCTCAATGTTGGTACGCAAATGCGCTTTGTTTCAAATAACCCGGTGCTCTTTTTTTGGCGGAGGTGCGCATGCGCACCTGCGTACCAGTTATGTGCAGCCCTGGTTTTAGCACATTGGATTCCTTTGTTTACTTACGGAACACAGTGACATCACTAACACTCGCATTTCTATTGGCTAGCGCTCCATCACATTGTACGTGATAGGCTAAGGGGCGGGACATCTCTAAGCGTTTGCTGCACAGTAAAGGCACAAAATACAATTAGGAACCTGAACATTTGCATAAAAATGTACTCTTTAGGTGAAAGATCTGTTAATAATAATAATTGCTGTTTGGTAACAATTAGTTTCCTTGTTTCGTCTTCCTCAGTGTTTTTTTATTGAAGAACAGGCGCAATCATACAGGGTCACAATTGAGACAATGATCTGTTCTAGAACAAACCATCACCCATCTCCTCCCGTCCCACCCCACCTTGAAAAGTTGAATACAAAAATAAAACATTGATTCCACGTTCAGATATAGAAAATAAAAACACAGTGACAAAAAATTATATTAATAACGATAAGTAAATAAAATGGCAGGTAAAAACGGATCAGTAAGTACAAATATAAATAAGAAGATATGTAAAAATAAATAAAAATATTAAAAGAGAAATCATTTCCCGCTATCAGGTCGGGAGTGTTTGGAGGTTGTTGAAATAATCTATGAAGCATTGCCACTGCTTATAAAAAACTGTCTACAGAGCCTCTAACGTAACGTCCACACGGTTGCGTCGCGTGCTTCAACGGAGACGCTTCCCATTCACTTTGAATGGGGTGACGTCAAGCTTTGCCGAACTGCATTGTGGTTCCGTCGCTTCGCTTTGCCTCCGTTGCTCGCGCTGAAAGTTGAGGAAAGTTCAACTTTTCAAGCGTCGACGGAAGCGCCAGCCAATCAAATCATATGCCAGTACAAGCTCTAGCCAATCAAACCGTGTGCTTGTGTGTCCGGGGCGGGAGATTAATGTGATTGGTTGTTGGTTCGCGCGCCAGACACGCCCCCGGCAAGCTTCAACGTGACGGAACCGCGTGGACGCACCGTTGGAGTATATTTTACCTTCTCAAGTTTCAGAAAGAATACCAGGTCTTTAAGCCAAATAGAGTAAAATGGGGGTTTAGGGGCTTCCCAATCTAATAACATTCTGCGACGAGCTTTCCTCAGTGTTTTCTCTGATCTTTTTATTCCCCTCTCTCTCCAGGAGCTGCAGGAGGAGGGCCAGGTGGTGAAGGTGGGGGGTCTGGGTCCTCGCTGGGTGCTGATGCAGCACTCTGAGCCCTGGCTGCTGACCGTGAAGCAGCCCTCCAAGAAATGGCACGAGTCCCGCCTCAACTCCAACAGAATCCCCTTTCTGGAGAAGAACCACAACATCCCCTTCATGCGCATGAGAACCAGGCGGGAGGTCCGAGAGCAGGAAGAGGAACCGCCGGCGAAAAGATCAGCTGTGGAAAAACAAGGAGGCGAAGATGTAGCGGGATCATCGAGTGACGCAACGGGAGAGAAAACCAACTGAGGAAGAAGAGCTGGAGAGGAAGAAAGAGAGGACAGGGGAGGGGAGTGGGGAGAAGCTGGTGAACTTGGAAGAGGAGGGAGGAGAGGTGGTGCAGTCTGAAGAGGAAAGAGAGCAGGAGAAAGGAAAGGAGGAGCTGGACAGTGAGGAAAAGAAAGATAATGGAGCAGAGAGTATGGAGGAAGAGGAATCCTCTCCATCAACAAGCCCGACTGGAGTGGATAAGGAGTAAGTGGGAACTATGACTTCTTATCTCATGGAAGTGACTTGTGTATTTCCATTTTATTTGTAACTTTATTTAGCATCGACTTTAGTAATTAGCGTAATAAAAAATATGTTTCCCTTGGGTCCATATGAAAGGTATTAAAACATCACATTCTTGATAATCTCAACAAAACAGAAAGAAACAACAATACTATCTATCACATTCATTATATCACAATCACAGTTAATAAAATCAAATAAAAGATATATTCAAATAGGTATGTTTACACTACAAATAATACTGACCTTCACATGCAGAGTATTAACGGAGCCTAGACTGATTTAACATTAAAATAACATCATTTCTTTCAAAACTGATTCTTTCCGATCATTCAGTTTTGAATATCCTTATTCTTTACAGTTTTCTATATGTATATATTTACCGATATGAATATATACTGGGTATATTTTGGTCTATTTTTAACTCATGTGCAATGCCTTGTTAACACGATGCTTTGATAAAACAATTTAGACATTTTGGATCAATAAAGCAAATCTATTTTAAAGGGGACCTATCATGCAAAATGCACTTTTATACATAAAGATGTGTCCCCGGTGTGTCAGGGAACTCACGCAGCGTCAGAAAATAAAACCCTCTCTCTTTTCCTCCGTACCCAAATCACTAAAAACGGGGGAACAACGGAGCTGATCCAGATTTGCGTCCGATATGACGTAATATCTGAAATGTGGACCCACGGCCCTTTCAGAAACGTTGCTATCAGAAACAATGACCGACTGTTTTGGACGTAATATGGTCGGTGTTTACATTAGCATCGCTAACACTCAGAGCTAACCTGTACTGGAGAGCATGTGTGTGAAGAAGCAGGAAATAAAAAGGAACTCACCTTGTGGTATAACCGGCAAGAGAGAAAGCCTTTGAGCTCCAAACTGTTTCAGAAGTAATCCTTGATAATCCATGATATGGCGTTTCATCACGGCAGTATTTAGTTTAGACAGTAGTTGCCGGGTCCCGCATGAGCTCAGCCCCCTCCTTTATTATTATTTTATTTTTTTTATATAAAGAGTTCTACCCAAATCAGCACTTTTGAAACAGGAAGTGAAATAGAGCGATATGAGGCATGGCTAGAATGGGTGATCTGTTTGGTATTTTGAGCAAAACACTTCATAGACATGTTTTTTATATATTTGTATATATCTGAGACCTATGCTATTGCCTACAAATAGCATGATAGGTGACCTTTTAATGTTTAAAGCCGTCAGAACCAAAAATATCGTATTCATCCCACAGACTTATCGACTTATGTATTTCCCTTTTATTTTAAAAGGCAAAATAAAATGAGAAGTCTAACATTTAAAATAAAAAGGCTAGCACACGTTAATAAAATATAATAAGATAAGACTTTATTTATCCCGAAGGAAATTGTTGTGCCAGAGTAACACAAATGCAATAAACACATCAGCATAATAATACAACTCTACACTAACAGTGCAGTCGAAAGAGCAATTAAATATCTACAGGAAACATAGACGGTCACATAATTAATGTAAATATTAACAGTATTTAGTAATGCAAAAAAGCGTAGTGGCAGATACGTAATTGCACGTTATCATAGCACATTATTAATAATAATAATATTGCACAAGTTCACTTCTACGGTTAAAAAAGTCAAGTAGCAGTATTTGGTTTTAGGTAAAAACACGTCCTGCGCTGTGTGTCATGTCTTTAAATCTCCGTCTCGTCCTCGCAGGGAAAACGTGAGCTTCATCAGCCGGCCGTGGCGCATGGTGGACGGGAACCTGAACCGGCAGGTGTGTAAGGGCATGCTGGAGGCCATCCTGTACCACGTGATGTACCGACCCGGACTCACGCAGCAGGCGCTGGTGGAGCACTACAAAGACGTGCTGCAGCCCATGGCCGTGCTCGACCTGCTACAGGTACACACACACACACACACACACACACACACACACACACACACACACACACACACACACACACACACACACACACACACACACACAATAACACTCACACATCAATAACACTCTCAGGCACAGGGGGCAGAAGTACTCAATTGTACTTTCATAAAAGAACAAGAGTGTAGGAATACTCTGTTACAAGTAGGAGTCTTGAGTCACACCTGGAGTAAAGTTCATAGTGACATTCATAGAAGCATGCTTTTGAGCACCAGTCAATCCTCAAATTAAATACAGAGCTAAATTGTAATGTTTTGTTAATAATAATAATAATAAAGCTTTATTTATATAGCACTTTTCATACAACACATGCAGCTCAACGTGCTTTGCAAAAGGACACATCACAAGTTAAAAATAAACAACAAGAGATTCCCCTCAGATTATTTGTTAAGAACTTTAAAAGGTACAAGCGGCAAAATATAACATTTGATCAGGTGAATAGACACAAGAAGGTAAAAGGCTTGATAATACAAATACAATAAATAATGGTTTCTCTCTGACAGATAAAACACAAGACAACTGAGTCGATGCAACAACTTAAAATATAAAACCCCATAAAACAAAGTGAACATGTAGGTACAACAGAAATACAAATAAAAAGGTAATAGTAATACAAATGCCATAATTCTATTAAAGGTTAAACGATTAAGAAATGAAAAAGACCAACGTAAAAATAAACATTGCTATTGAAGCATGTTAGATTAATAAAATAAGATAAATGAAGACCTATGAAATAAAATAAGGAGTTTGTTCCCTTGTATCTTGTCCATAATATCAGCTCTTGTTGATGTTGCAAATGGAGCTGCTGTGATGCAAGAACATTTCAGACTCAATCTGACGATGAGCTGTTATCGTATCGTAAAGAACTTCCGTGCTGGTGTTTCAGCAAGTTTCCAGCCTGAGTGTTTGCAGCAGCTTGGAGCCCAACACAAATGTCCTCCCAGATCAATAAAGTATTTTACTCATTTCAGAAAAATGCTTTTATTTAATTCAGAAGAAATGTTAAGATCGTGGTGAATTGCCATTATCGGAATAAAAGATGTGTGTCCTTTCTTTTGATGAAATGACAGTATATCGTTTACAAAATCAAAGGTCCAGGATGTTTTGGTGCATTAAGGATTTAGGAGTTTTAGGTATATTTTTTTATCATGAAAAGCAATTATTTCGGCTGGGATCATTGGGGACAAACACAATCCTCCTTTACTTACTTGTATGTTTGTTGAACTGTTTGGCTATTAAGTAACTTACATTCTCTCAACAACGGCACCAAGTGACAGCTTCTCCTTGCTCACTGTCTGCTCTGCAGGCGCTCACAGACTCCGGCTGTGTGATGAGGAAGACTCTGGTGAGAGCTGCTAAACCTTCGCTGTTCGCCCGCGCTGTGAAGACGAGCAGAGAGACGAAGGCGATGATGGAGGAACCGGACTGCGTGTTCTACGAGCCGACCATCAGCTGCTGCCTGCGGCTCGGCCAGATGCTTCCCAACGAGCGACACTGGAACAGCTGCATGCCCTGAAGTCACCCTGGAGCATCAGAGACTTGATATGGCTTTTAAAGATCAAGTTTAAAATGTTCTCCTCGCCACAATCAGTATGTTGTGATAAACCTAAAAGATTTGATTTGACTAAATGTTTCATGGCATCAGGTTATTTGACAGATTTCACTTCTGGTTTTACAGAACAGGGATTTCTTTGTACATTTATTTGTTAAAACCTTTCGTCTGTGTTCCTTTTTTGTTTTGACATTAATAATAAAAAGAATAATTATTTGCATTCTGACTTTGTCTTTTAGATAAGTAATCATTTTTCACAAGAACAGCGTAAGGGCCCGTCTCCACATAACTCCTTCTGATCTCCAGGGTACATAGTCGATCTTCTGAGTGCTTCGCCTCTTTTGAGTTATTAATATTTCAAGTTTTCAGAAAAGCGACGGTGTAGAATTTGCATGAAAAGCTTGTTTTCGGCCGAGTCGGTCCGCCTCAAATGATCATCACAAAGACCCAAAAGGCTGGTTTTGGAGTGGATCAGCCCATGGATGTATAAAGGAAACTGGACACGGCGTTGGAGGCGGGACTCGTTCATTCCAAGTCTCCAGGAAGTGCGCCGGATGTGGATGCAAATGCTCGTGGTGGCCAAACGGTGGTGCAGTATACAAAAACTAGCTGCACCTTCACCAGCTTTGATAACACTTGAATGATCAATAATTATAAAACACATCATATATATTATTCTGAAATGGGCCAATCTGCATAATGACTACTTTAGTATAGTTTGATGCTAATACTTTTGCACTTTTACTTAAGTATCATGTTGAAAGCAGGACTTTTACTTGTAACGGAGTATTCCTCCTACTTCTGTGTCAGTTGTGACGTCATTGGGCCCAACAATACTTTTTCCCATCGACTGGTTGTTGTGACTTGTTGCTCCACTTATCCGGGTTCCAAAATGTTCAGTCTTCCAGAGAAAAAGGGGAAAAGTTGTCTCTGGCCGACCGTTGAACTTTAGATTCAGGATGAGTCGTGTTGTCGTGGATATGAATCGCTCACAACGTGAAAGAATAACACAGAGAGAGATCAATAAAACACATATAGTTGAGATTAATTATTTGTGTTTCCTCGTAGGGGCACGGCCAAGCTTTATTTTTTATTTTATTTATTTTTTATTTTCTTTATTTCGAACAGATTAAAAAATAAAAATAACAAATGTGAAAACAGAATACCGTATTGTTATAATACAGTATTTATCCACATTCATGGTAATATTTGTATATTCAACAAAAAAACAAAAAAAATTCTTCATATTAATAATAATAATAAATCATATGTGTCCGAAAGGGAGTAGGAGGAAGCAAATGCTTATTAATTCCCACCCCTTACTTGATCAATGATTGTCCTTTAAATCATTATGCAAGTTATTCCTACTTAGATTTACATTTATACATACATACAATAATTACACCTTTCTTCATTCTCATATTTTTCCAAAAAAGTGTTTCTGTACATCCTTTTAAACTGAATTATGCTTTGTTTGAACTCCTGCTCCAAACCATTCCATAAAATCACCCCACAGATTGTTAAACTCATACGGCATACACGGCCAAGCTTTGCCTACACACAGATCCTAAATAGTGGCAGCATCACAATTGATTTTGCTCACAAATTGCAGATATATATCAACACATCCTACAGAGGTCACACACGCTCATACATGAGTAACAAGTATGTCTGTGTTGATGAGTCGGGTGAGTGAAAACGCCAGAGGGGAAGTGATGTCATGAATAAAATCTGATCAAACAGCTCCAGGTCTGAACTACAAGAATACAGATTAGTTGTGTCCGTTTGCTCTCAGTGGGTGTTGGATTACACCATGATTGTGTTCACTATTTGGGTCATTTCACAGTTTATCAGTAGTTTCTGTACTGTTATGCTTTGCACTAAATATAAAGGAGATATTCATTACATATGTCAGAGCAGAGGTGGTCAGTTTTTTACCTCTAAGGGAACACTGTCTGAATCACTACACTTCCACTACAGGTGGTTTTGTTATCCGAGACATAAAGTACAGACTCCTACCATTCCCTAAACGCTGATCAAATCAGACTCTCTTCCTATTCTTATTGTGTCGCCCTGCTGACTCACACCCTGTTTCATTAAATATGCCCAAGATTGCTCCTGTGATATTCTGCCTTCCTCTGTCTCTAAACCCGAGAGAGACACAGAATATACGAACAGTAATGAAATCAGAATTGAAATACTTTCTGCAGATGTTACGGTATGATCACCGGTGAAGAATAACTGGCGAACCTGTGGAGGAACTTGAACACACCCTGTGATTAATGGAAGGGCTCTCAGGAAGCTGAGCGATAAAGATCGCCGGGAAGTTGAGGAATGTTTGCTTCTGCAATTGTGAATTATATGCACAAAACGTCCTTTACTTTGACGCACCAAAGTACCAAACTTTCTCTTGTATTCCTTGTATCTAGACCCCCTAAAGGCCTGCAGATATTATGTGCACAGATCAATGTTTCTCTACGTGTTGTCACAAGGTGGAAGGTTTAGTTAAGGTCCTAAAGGTACTAATGAACCCAGAGCTGAATGTGAGGAAGGGTGGTGCAAATACCTGTTTACTCTCCAAGCCTGTCAGTTGTGTGCATGCATGAATTGCATGTTGTTAGTTGTTATTAGTTGTTCCTTTGATAATAAAGCAAAAAAACTCATCTCTTTCGACTCCACTTCGAGCGTTAGAACTATTAACGAAGCACTTTTATACTAATAAAGGACTGGCTTACCTAAAGCCAGTTGAGTAGCACGTGAAATGTTTGGCTCTATGAAACCTGATGTACTTATATGATTCTGTTTTCTTCAAGGTTGTGTCTTCCTGGTCGAATGTACTTATTGTAAGTCGCTTTGGATAAAAGCGTCAGCTAAATGCAATGTAATGTAATAATAATAACTTTGTTTGAATTCATAATGATATAAACAATTCTAAATCAACTTTGTTTGACACTTTACAGAGAGGTTTAATTCTCATATTTGTCTCTACTGTGACATGTCTCCATGCTTTAATGTTCAAAAAGCTCTCTATTTTTCTCATACTGCCTGTGCTGCAGCACCTCTTTTCACCCTCTGTCTGAAACCAGAGTCTGCTCTGATTGGTTAGCTGGCCGGCTCTGTTGTGATTGGTCAACCGCTTAGAGATGTCCCGCCCCTTAGCCTATCACGTACAATGTGTTGGAGCGCTAGCCAATAGGAGCAAGAGTGTTACGTAGTGATGGCGTTATGTTACAGAAGTAAACAAAGGAGTCCAATGGAGGCGTTTCAGGCAGGGGGGCAGTGTGTGGGAGAGAAACTCCTTCTGGAGGGAACACAGGGATTTTAACCTTTGAAACCATTTACATGCACACAAACGTATAACTCACTAAAGGAAAGGAAACCAAAAAAGGAAAATAGAGTCTCTTTAAATAATCAAACAAAATGAAAAAACCCTATTTTATTAGTTGTATTGTTTTCTGCCGGCGCCCTATAAGCTATAATACAGGTGAATGGAGCATTTATGTTGACATGTGTTCAGTTTCGGTCCTTTCTTGGATTTTCCTATAGAGTTAACTGCCCTGATTTTTAAGTCATTCAACCTTCCCTCTTATATATGAGATTCATGTTATCTCTTTCCTATCAGCATCAGAATTCCTCCATTAGTGTTACAGCAGAAGTGGCATCGTGGGTAAATGCTTCAGAGTCAGGACAGGCAATAAAGAAAAGATAATAGAGGTACAAGATTAAATGTTTTGTTTTTGTATTGAATCTGGAGACATGGAGTTGAAATGCTTCACTTTCACTTTCAAAATACAGTAGGAAAAAATAAACGTAGACAGGATGTGTGAAGTGAAAACAGGCTGCGCTGCCAGCATTGTTCGAGTCACTTCAATAGAAAGCCAAAAGACGGAGTGGATTCATTTCACCTCCTGACTGCCTTTGGGGTTCATGTTCGACGCTTGATGGTTTTTCTATTACTTCAAAATAACTAGGAAAAATGTTTTTCCATTTGATTCTTTTGGTTGTTTCTGTGATGACGTTCCAGCCCAGCTCCCATAGGTCCGGCTGTGGTAAGTTAAGAGATTTCTATCTGTGTTTTCTTTGGGGGATTCACACTTCTCCCTGTATTTTCTATTTTGAACTATAATTATATTTTGCCTTTATAAAATCACACTGTTTTTTTGTGTTGTTTTTTCAAGTATTTAGTTGTTGTGTAGTGATGGATAAACTCCTTATTATATTTGATCAAGCAAAAGTGACGTCTTCTTATTGTTTTTAGTATTTTCTTTATTGGTATTGTATGTTATATCATTTATGGTACATATTTATAGTTGTAATGCTCAGGTGGGATGCATTTAATTGCATTTGAATGTAAGCTTTTTATACACTAGAACCTGAACATGCAAATATCTTGGATTCATCAAAACACAAACTACTCCATGTAGTACAAATACATGTCGTACATATAAGGATGTATGACAGGGTTGAGTGCTTTAGAAGTGCAATCCGATATCTAATTTCACATTGAGCTGTTTAAACCGATATTATGAAATGTGTGTTACAGATCAAAACTGTGCAGATAAACCTCGCTTCACTCCATCCAGACTGGTGGTGCAGTTTGGGAAGCCGGCCTCCGCCCACTGCTCCGTGTGTCAGCCTGGATGCAATGTCACTATATTTGATATTGAAATTCCTATTGGAAACAGTACAGCAAATGGAACTGAGATTACATGGAAGGTCAACAAAATGACTGAGTGGAACATTTATTTAATGTGCCATTATAACAATGACACTACTGATGTGCAGTGTTGCATCTTCCTGCCTATAACTGTCTACAGTGAGTCACAACAACTGTTTATATTCATCAATTATAATCTAACACAGTGGTGGGAAATACACTTAGTACATTCACTGCAGTGCTGCAGTTAAGTACACTTTTTTTTTGTGACCAACTTGTTATTGTTTTGTTTTTGTTGCCCTCACAGAGGGACTTATATACACAGATACAAATTATATAGACAATAATACAAAAAGACAAAATATAGGGAATCCCTTTCCCATGCCACCCCGCCCCACCCATCTTGCCATTTCACAGAAAATCCTACCTGATGTTTGTTTGTTAGCGTCTGAGTTCATCTATCTATTATATTAAGTTAAAGGTGGGGTAGGTAAGTTTCAGAAACCGGCTCGAGATACACTTGTTGTTATATTCCATGGAATGCTCTTAACATCCCGATAGCAATGAATGTCTGAAGTGCTTTGACAAAAAATCCATAAAAAAATGTCATCTGTGGAAGCCGTAGTACTGTAAAAAGTACAACAGATTGGATTGCCGCCCTGTCTGTCAGCCTTCCATCTCGTGCACGCACAAATGTATCTCGTGCCCTCATTGGGCGTGCCGTCATTGGGCGTGCATTGCAGCAGTACTTCAATGACTCGCCAGCAACAGGCGGCCACTTTCACCAGTCTGCTGACGTCATGTGCGCGTTCATGTGTGTTGGAGGAGGTGCTCTGTAAGGAAGTCTGAAGGAAGGGGCGGATTCTTTTCGGCTGTGTACTTTCAAATTTTAGTGCACTCGAGCCGGTTTCTGAAACTTACCTACCCCACCTTTAAATGTAGTTAAGTACACTTTTGAGGAAGTTTTACTTGGCTTCAGTTTGTATATTTATGCTACTTTGGATGCTTGTATTGTACTTTTTACTCCTCCAAATGTTACTTTATAAGTTCATATTATTAATACAAAATATATGTTTTAAATGTATTAAAATATACAAAAACCAGAACATATATTTTATAATGAATAATGATGAACCATTATGAATTAGGATTCATGGCAGTAAACTTATTTAAAAATACATTTCCTTTAGCTGATGCTTTTATATAAAACGACTTACAATAAGTGATGAAAACGTATTAAAATAAGCTCCATCTTTACGATCTGCCCTACTTTTTTTACTTCTACTCCACAACATAGAGGTACAATGTGTACTTATACATTAATTTAACACCTTTTAGTTACTTTACAGATGTGGATGAATGATGTGAAATATAACCAAGTGTTAAATCAGACTTTAGTTCCACCTGGAGTAAATCCACAAGCTACCCTGCAGTATACAAAGTCATTCAAACTAGCTGCACCTTTACCAGCTTTGAGAACACTTTAAGGATCAATCATTATAAAACATATCATAGATATTATTCTGAAATGGACCAATCTGCACAATGACTACTTTTGCTTTTGGTACTTTAAATATATTTTGATGCTAATACTTTTGCACTTTTACTCAAGTATCACTTTGAAAGCAGGACTTTTACTTGTAACAGAGTATTCCTACACTCTGGTACTTTTACTGAAGTACAAGATCTGAGTACTTCTTCCTGCTCTGCATAAAGTGTAGGTGTTTTAATTATGTTTCATGGAGATACTGAATGTGTCCGTTTGTCTCCACAGCGCCTCCAGAGAATGTTTCCTTCAGCGTTCACCCTGGTGGGCCGATGTCTGAGGGTCAGCAGTACACTCTGCAGTGTGAAGTTCAGGATGTTGCTCCTGTGGAAAACCTCAGAGTGACTTTCTACAGAGGACCGACGGCATTGGGTCCCACGCAGAGCAGCATAAACACAGATGAGAAACCAGTGAGTGAAGTCTTCACTTGGAACATCACCTCCACTAAAGAAGATGATGGAGTCGAGTTCTGGTGTGAAGCAAAGCTGGAGCTGGGAGCTGACGGACCACAGCCTCCTCCAGTGGTGGGGTCAGAGAAACTCACTGTTGCTGTCCTCTGTGAGTCCGACTAAATTATTATTACTTATTTATTTATGCATTATAATAATCTTCTTTTTCATGTCCACATTATCATTACATTTATTTGCATTGTTTATGCTGTACTTTTAATATGTTTTGGAGGTTTCAGGGAGTTTGTGATGTATTGCTGCACGTTTCTAATGACGGAGGGTGTCTGTAAAGCACCGTGATGCAAATGCGTTACACCGACCTGTAGATGAACAAAAATAGTAACTTAGGAAAATTATTGTTGGGAAAATACTGAATGTACTCTTCCAATATCAGAGTAGCACATGATAACAAAGGCCCAATGTAGCTGTGTACGTAACAGGATGTATGATTGATTACACAGAAGAGCGTCAGGACACACTGTTTTAGGCACATGATAGCTATGTGATTAACATGATGATTTAGCCTCTATGGAGATAGACATATGACTATCATGTTTATTGCTTACGTAGGTTTTAGCTAATCTGAACTAAACATTGAATACTGCTTTGAACCGGTATTCCTCCATCTTGTGACTGTGACTCTCTCGTGTATATCAGCATGTGAAGGACACTGTTCTGGGAACTATTTGGTCCCATATGCTCTCTATGCGACTACTTCCATTCTTGCAAGGATAATACATACATGTATCCTGATATTGAAGCTCAAGCCGGTGACGAGTGATATTTTTCCTAAAAATTATCTATGCAAAAAAAATCCCCCAAATCACAGCCTTAGATCAGTGGTTCCCAACCTGGGGGGCGCGCCTTTAAAAAAAAATGTGTTTACATTTAATTGTAACGCAATACATGATTGTCACTAAAAGCCTTGTCTCTACATTACAATAAAATATAAACAATAATTGATTAATTAATTTGAATACAAATTCAAGTTAGTAGCATTATAGGCATAAAAAGACAGAAATGTATAATTCTTTCTTTAATAGAAATGTTTCTTCTGCTCGTAAAGTGTCCAAACCAGGCTTGTCTGGATAAACGCATTTTTAAAACATAGCCTAGTCATTGTCCATGCCGGTTTCAGTTGGATTATTTGTCACAGTTGCTCCGATCAGATTGGTCTCCTCCATTTTGTAGATTATTTACGATTTTTGAATCCACATAAACACATCGGCAAAATCCGGTTTACTTTGAACATGTGTTTTAAACAGTTTAATCCCTTTATGAATTGTTTCCACTTGCGCCGTCCTTTAATTTCTTCATACAGCGGGAATCCAAATGAATTAATCCTGAGTCCAATAACCATCAAAGTCACTCCAATAGTGCTCCTTAATTACGGCATCCGTACCGATCATCATCACAGAAGGAAACCCTCTGATGCTGAACTGCTCGTCTGTGGGAAACCCCCCACCATCGTATACATGGACGGCTGAAAGTAAAACATAGCTTAATATATTGGAGCCATTTGAACCCAAGTACAACAAATGTTTTAACAAAACTGGAAAGAGGGTTGGGGCCACGGGACATTTTCTCAATAGCCTTTAAATCTGAATTTAATTTTGAAATGTTCTGACTTTATTCTCAAATACATTTTCAGCATGTGGCCCTTATCATCTTCCATTTGCAGATAATACACTACACCTAATCAAAGATTACATGAGAGGAAATGTCATTGATGTCGGTCCTTTTGTCTATTGTCCGCAGATTTACCTTCAACCACACTGCCGACAACAACATCAACCCCATCCACCACAATGATAACAACCATATCAACCCCCACCACAATGATAACAGCCACATCAACCCCCACCACAATGATTACAACCACATCAACCCCGACTACCACAAAGACAACAACAACAACAACAACAACAACAACAACAACAGCAACAACAACAACTCCAAACAGAGGTACCAGCAGCAAACGGCTCCACAGCTTCATGATGTGTTTCCTGCTTTTATTCTCTGCTCTGGTGTGAGTTCATTTCCAGATAACGTAGAGGAGGTTGTATAAACATTAGCATGTCATGTGTTTTCCACTAGAGAAGATATCTGGGAAATTAAATGTATTTCATCCATGTATATGTAGTTCACATTTGATATCAATAAACCCAGTTTTCTAAGTACATTGAGAATCCAGCCCATTATTTCAGACCTTTTTTCCAATGTCATGCAGATATTTCACCACTAGAGGGCATTACATTACCCTGTATATATTGAGACCATGAGGTTTGTTTACACATGGCACTTTAGGCCACCGATTACTTAATTTTTTACTTACATTTTTACACAATATTTACACTGCACTTTATTTCTTTCAGCTGAGGGGTCCTTGGACTGAAAACATTTTTAATTAACGATATAAATGACATTAAAACACACACAGATATGGCAGAACACAGACACGAGTGGCAGTAAATGCAAAGTAAATGGTGTTATATATTTAAAAAGAAAACACAGAACAGCTTGAATTACAGTTGCTCACATGTCTTGTCCTTGTTGGACTTGTTTCTTCATAATTCAATACTTTAGCCAACCTGTAAGCATTTTCCTTTTATCCTTTCTGCTTGTGTGCGGTTTAATTATTAATCTCTAGAGGCCTCCTCCCTTCTTTCCCGGTATTACCAGTCAGGACATGTAAGGTAAAGTAAGGTGAGCTGGGTTTGTTTTTAAAGCATTTTCAGACTTAGAAGCAACTCAAAGAGCTTTACATTCTGACTCGCCAGACCATTCATAAAAGGGAGATACTATTAATACAATGATAATAATAATAATAATAATTAATAATAGTACTTTGAAATACAATGAATTTATAGGATTCAGAAGTATGATCATATACTATCTTTAAACAACCTCAGAAAAGCAGCAGTAAACATTAAATGTTAAGCCTTGATACAATTTGAGGAAGAAAGCAGTGTTGGAAGAAGTATTCAGATCCTTATCTTAAAGGTGGGGTAGGTAATTCACTTCAGAAACACTTTTTGTCATATTCCATGGAATGCTCTTAACATCCCGATAGCAATGAATATATTAAGTGCTTTGACAATAAATACATTAAAAAAATGTCATCTGTGGAAGCCGTAGTACTGTAAAAAGCACGACCAATCATTTGAGCCGGCCCGGCTAAAATAACTGGATGGCCTACCTGACTGTCAGCCTTCCATCTGTGCACAAACTTATCTCGTGCCCTCATTGGTCATGTGCTCGTTCATGTGTGTTGGAGGAGGGGCTCTGTAAGGAAGTCTGAAGGAAGGGGCAGATTTTCTTCGGCTGCGTACTTTCAAATTCTAGCGCACTCGAGCTGGTTTCTCCATTCTTACCTACCCTACCTTTAAGTAAAAGTTGTAGAGCCGATGAAAGGGAGTCACAGGTGGTGTGTTCAGTATGGAACTCCACACTTTATTTTCCATTTGTAATAAAACAAGGTAAGCACATCCGCTCGTTGCTACTGTCAAGCTAGCATGAATACCACAACACGGTACCCTCACTCATGCGGCTTTCACACCAGCGCTTTTCTCTTTCTAGCTCCGAGCGGGAGCTTTTCTGGTTCAGCTCCGGTTTCCCTTTTCTGCTCCCGCTCTGTTCACACCGCCCAGAGCTGCCGCTGCTGCGTCATGACGTCACTGTTTACGTGCCTGCTTCATAAAATCCAAACCGCGCGGAAATCCCTCACATCGACAACAACAACAATGGCCGATTGTATTGAAGCGCTGTTCGCTTTGGTTATCCTCTTACGAAACGAAATGGAAGGCATCGGGCGACTTTACAAGGGACGACTTTACTTGGAACTTTACAAACATCACAGCGAAATGCAAGACTTCTTTGTGGTCTTCAGCATCTACTTCAACCCGCCTCGATGTAAGAGAGACGTAAGCGCCGCCGCCTCTTAGCTCCGAAGCTCTTGCCTCTAGACCGACAATTTTTTGGAGCTGGAAGTGAACCGGATTCCGGAGCTATTAGGCGGCGCCTCTGCGGTGTGAACAGGAAAAAACGGTACTTTTCAGGCTCCAGCTCCGAGCCGGAGCTGAAAACGCGTTGGTGTGAAAGGGGCATAACAGGTCCGTGTTGCAACACACAATATATCCAACGGTGAATTATGTCCCATAACGTGTCACCACAAAAGCCCCCCCAGGATTCACCCATATACAAAGTCTGCGTGGCGAGGAGGAACGACAGGCCGACCCCCACGACTCCTGAGCACGGAAGCCGGGAAGGCGACCCCTGCATGGGCGGCCGCCGGAAAAGGCTGATGAAAACGTGCTGCCTTCATGGAGCGATGGAGCGATGGAAACGTTCACAAAGGCCGTTAGCCTGAGGGTGATAAGCGGTTGTCCTGTGAAGCTTAACCCCCAAACCTCTCGCTACAGCGTTCCAGAGCTCGGACGTGAACTGTGAACCCCGGTCTGTCATGTCTGAAGGGGTGCCAAACCGACACACCCACGTTGCAATCAAAGCCCGGGCTATGTCAGCCGCCAACGTCGACACGAGAGGAACTACCTCCGGCCAACGGGTCGTCCTGTCCACCATGGTAAGGAGATAGGAAAAGCCCTGAGAGGAGGGTAATGGACCAACCAGATCGATGTTGACTTGGTCAAACCTCCTCTCAGGTACCAAAAAACGCTCCAAGGGGGCCTTCACGGCCACCATGCGCACCGAAGGTTTCCCGCCGAGGTGTGACAGGTCGTGCACCGCCCCGAACACGGAACGCCTCCGACTGGCGGGAACGACCGGACGCAGCAGGCCCGTGGAGACATCGCACAGGAGAGTAACGGCCCCTACACACGGCGGCGTGCGTTACCGCTTGGCGGTGGGCGTGTCTGAAGCTTGGGGATTTTTTACGAACAACGCGACCAACAACCAATCACATGAATGTCCCGCCCCGGACATACAAAGCAAAGCATTCATGCTACATCCATGCTGGCTAAATATACTGTCTATGCTTGCTAGCTGTCCATTCAAACGAAGTACACTGGATATAAACTCCCCAAAAAGGCGAAAACCTACCAGTGTCACCCACTGTCTCTGCCACCTCCCCCCATGCCTGACTCCTCCGGTTTGTATCCATGTATGTAAAGAGGGACTGGTCATATAGTACCGCCACGATCTTTTTCTCCTCCATTTTTTTACATATGGGAAATAACTGCGGCCTGGCTCTCCCAACATACACGCGGTTTGATTGGCTAGCGCTTGTAATGTCAGATTTGCATACGCGGGATTTGATTGGCTGACGCCTCCGTAGAGGCGGCAAAAGTAGAACATTGCTCTACTTTTACAGCGAGCACCGCGAGAGAAGCTACGCTTTGCTCCCACAATGCAGTTCGGCGAATCGTGACGTCACCCCATTCAAAGTGAATGGGCAGAAGCGTTGAAGCGGCAACGCACGCCGCCGTGTGTAGGCTCCGTAACGCTCGCGTCACCGAAGACCACGTCTTCCAGGCGCAGCCCCACGTCATCACGTTTCAGGGCCTGGACGCTGGGATCCATAACCTGGTCCGCCGCAATGCGGGTATAGTCGAGGCTCAACTGGACGGCCCCGATGACGACCCTGGAGAGGCAATCTGCGGCCAGGTTTGACTTGCCAGCCACGTGCTTAATGTCTGTGGTGAACTCCGAGATGTAGGAAAGCTGCCTCTGTTGACGAGCAGACCAAGGCTCCGCCACTTTGGACATGGCAAACGTGAGTGGCTTGTGGTCAACGAACGCCGTAAATTCACGGCCTTCCAGCAAAAAACGGAAGTGCCACACGGCCAGCCAGAGTCCAAGGAGCTCCCGGTCAACCTGCGTTACTTGGGCGTCAGCTGACGGCTGAAAAAGGCAAGTGGCTGCCAAGCGCCCTCCACCCACTGCTCATGCACCGCACCGACGGCGTAGTCCGATGCGTCTGTGTAATTGAGATGGGAGCCGTGGATGACGGATGCGCCAACAGGGCCGCCTGAGCCAGCACAGTCTTGACCTCCTTAAAAGCAACCTCAGCTTCCGCCGTCCAGTCGATCTCCTGGATGGGGGCCTTTCCCTTCAAAGCCTCATACAGCGGCCGCATAATGTGGGCGGCCCGGGCGATGAAACGGTGGTAGAAAGTCACCATCCCCAGGAACTCACGGAGCGACCGGGCCATGTGCGGGCGAGGAAATGCCGCAACAGCCTCAACCTTCGCCAGCAGGGGTGCTGCCCCGCCTTTGGTGACGTGGTGCCCGAGGAAGTCAATGTCAAACATCCCGAACAGGCACTTTGCAGGATTGATTATCAGCCCGTGTTGGCTGAGCCTCATGAAAAGGGCTCGGAGGTGGGTCAGGTGTTCCTCCACCGAAGTGCTGGCGACGAGTATGTCGTCCAGGTAGACTAACACAAACGGTAAGTCCCGCAGCACCGAATCCATCAGGCGCTGGAACGTTTGAGCGGCATTCTTGAGCCCAAAAGGCATCCGCAGGAACTCGAACAAACCAAACGGCGTTATCACTGCCGTTTTGGGAATGTCCAGGGGATGCATGGGCACCTGGTGGTATCCACGCACTATGTCCACCTTAGAAAACACCAGCGTACACGCCAGGTGTGCTGAAACGTCCTGAATGTATGGCAACGAGTAGCGGTCGGGTGTTGCGGCGGTAATCCCCACATGGGCGCCAACCGCCGTTAGGCTTGGGAACGATGTGCAGAGGAGAGGCCCAAAGACTGTCAGACCGGCGGATAATACCCAAGCGTTCCATGGTCGAAAACTCCACCCTCGCTACTGCAAGTTTAGAAGGATTTAACCGCCGGGCCCTGGCGTAGACCGGGGGACCTTCGGTGGTGACGTGGTGCTCCACCCCATGCTTGGTGGTGAGCGCAGAGAAGGTGGGCAGCGTCAGGTCCGGAAATTCAGCCAACAGCCTGAGAAAACTGTCACGCTTGGCAAGGCGGCGTACAACGGTACG